TATTTGAAACTATTTGAATGCATTTTTATACCATCTTCATGTATAAAGAGAAATACTAAATCTAATTGAATAATAATTTAAATACTTATAATTAATCAGGTTTCAATTTAATATTTCACGTTTTTAACAAAATAATAATCCCTAATTTGGGACATTGACTTTGTGCCTTTTCTTTTTCTTATTTTGTAAATTAAAAAACTTTATTGAAAATTGTTATATAATTTGATTGGCGAGACGACCATTATTAATTTAATCTGATTTATCGATCGAAAAGGTCGATTGCTAAGTAGAGTGTTGAGAGACCCAGCAGATTTACATATTAATTATGTTATAATCAAAGCTCAAAAAGCGCATCAAACCAAATTTTAATACAATAAAATTATACCTTCACATAAAATATAATAAAGTGAGCTTTACAATTTAAATTAATTTTTAATATGCATTTATTCCTAATGAGTTTATAAAGTTTATGATAAATAAATTAGTTTCATATTTAAATCAAAAATAATTTTACAATGTAATTTTTTTTTGTGAAATAGAAACGTATACAGTGGAACCTCGCATAACGAGCATTTCGTTTAATGAGGGAAATTATTTGTAAGAAAACTGACTCGCTTAACGAGCGACGTTTCGCATAACGAGTGACGATGAGAACAAAAGTCCCGGATTGCGCGTCTGCTACATCATTTTTAAAACTTGTGTATTTTTTAATATGTTTTACTATACGAGTAAAAATCCGGAAATTTAGGAACGGATTAAACTCGTTAAGCGAGGTTCCACTGTATTTAAATTGATTGCGACACGAATAATGGAAGAAACCTTAACATTTTTGTATTAATTATATATCTATTGAATTGCATGAGTTGTAATGGATGCATTAAACTGTAAATATGTAATTATCCGTACTAAGTAATTGGTTTAAATGAGATTGTACATGTAATTTGCAACGATTCATATTGAAGAATCTCGCTTCACTCTTGAAGATAAACGTATCTCATTATTTGAAAGTTTATGTTTATAAATCAATGCACAACCTTGGATTTAATAAGTTTGTAAATGTTATTAACGGTATTTCTTAAGCCCTTATAGAAATATTCCAAAATTTTCTAACAAAAAATTTAATTAAAAAAAATCAGTAATTTACAAAGTTTAATACATACTTATTTTATTATTTCCTATATTATTTCTGGTACTAATAAAAAAATTCTATTAAAATTTCAAATTTATAATAAATATTAGACCTAGAATCGGTTTTGATTTGGTAAATTAATTAATTTATACTACTAATAAAAAAAATGTAATTACATTTCAAATTTATGAAAAATATTAAAACTTTTTTTTAATTATTTTGTTTGAAAAAAGAAATAATCTGTTGAAACTTAAAAATCATCATATTTTAAGCTTTGTTATTGATTATTACTCATATAAAAACAATTTTACACAATTTATTATCCAAGAAGAGAGACCTAACTATTGTTGAACTATTAAAGCTTATGTTGTAGACCTTGGTTATAAATCGCTGAGGAAATGCAACTTTCATCATTAAAATTGTTATGTTAGTTTATATAACAGATGCATTAGTAAACAATGAAAATATGAAAGAAGTTTATAAATTAAAACATATTTGATGTCCTGTAAAAATCTTGGATATTTGATGAAGAATCTAAATTTAAACGTATTAATGTTTAATTATTAAAGACAAAAAATGGTACTATTTATTATTCAATAAAAATATCTATCTAACATTCAGTATTTAAAACTTATGTTCTAGACCTTGGTTATTACTGAATGAATGCAACAGTCTAATATTAATATTATTTCATTTTTCTATAACAGTTCTAAAAAGTTGTTTAGTTCTTAAAAAAGTAATTAAAATATTAAAGAAATTTCATTTTTGAAACAAAAAATCAATTATATTTGGTTCTTACTTAAAAGATATTGACTAATTGTAAAAAGTATACATTCAACGTATTGATTATTACTCATATATGAACAATTATTAACCAATAAAAATACCTATTTACAGTTTTAAAGCTTTTCTTGTAGACCTTGGTTACTAGAATATGCAGAAAAATAATGCAATTTCCAAGTGTTTAAGTTTAAAATTCTTACATTAGTTTATACAACAGATACAAATAATTATAGATATAGTTCAAGAAGCATTGAAAATAAATTTTACAACAAAAAAAAATCAACATATTTGATGACTCCTTGTAAATATACAAAAACACCTCTCATAGTGCGGCTCCGATCAGTACGGATTCACTATAATGTAGTTAGAAAACTTCAAAACAAACTAAATTTATAATAATTTTAAAAAAAATGCAACTTTCAATTTTAACATTCTTTATATAACGGAAACAATAGTTGTTTAAAAAAACAACAAACTAATAATGTTTATTTTTTGGGTCAACTTTGTACGCGCTTTCCCCATTCGGCCCCGTGGGAATTGGATTAAAGAAAGCCGCGCGCCGCCCGTACAAAGTTTCGGGTCCGGTCACTCGATTAGGGTCCAAAATTTATTTCTTAATACCGAACCTTCCTCGTCCTGTTCTCTACTTCTTCTCCTTTTTCCTTATATCATTTTGCTCGTGCAGTTTTTCACCTGGCGTATGCAAAACGACGATCCGAATAAATACGGTGGGCACGAGTCTCTGCGGGCGATCCTCGCCGAAAATCGTACAATTTATTTTGTTTTATAGACGTGAGTTGAATACAGTTCGAAGGACGAAAAAAAAACGCGTACCCGATGAGGTCCATCCAATACTTATTAATCATTCTTTTATTTTCATGAATCCTTGTTTCGTTGATGATAATCGGGTTCGGTTTGCAAATCGAAATCTGCAATTATTCTCGTTTTATCGTAATGTCAGAGAGCACAATTGGATACGCATTTGTTGGAATGAATGGGTCTGAACTTACACGATTCTCCCATAAACTAAAACAGAATCAAAATGAAACGAGAAAGAGCGAAATCAAATATGCATTCAGATCGAATTGCAAAATCGTTCTAAATTTATATATATATATAAGGATCAAAGCAATGCTTATAAATCTTAATCACGTAATCCTTTTGTTGATTTGTGAAAATAATAATAATAAGAAAAATGGATTAATAATAAAAATTGGTATTAATTTAATAGAAACGATTTAATTGAGTAATAAAGTTAATATTTTTTGATGGAAACTTTTTAAGAAATCTTTATTACTTTATAATTGCTGCATGACAAAACAATTAAATTATTTAAACAAATCCAATTAGAAGCCAATTGCTAGTAATTTTGTTTACAGCTGTTGCTTTTTGGATATTTTTCACTCAAAGATGACCAACATTCTGGTCGACCTACTACAAAGACATAATTGAGAAACGTATTGTCATATAACTGTGCAAGAGTGATGATCAATTTGGTGGAATTACAAAGATGTTGTGTATTTTGAGCTTCATTCTAGGAGCGAAACGATCAAATAAGATGTTTACTCTTAATAACTAATAAACCTGGAGGAAACAATCAAAGAAAAATTTTCAATTTTATACATAAAAAATCAATTTAACATTAAAAACAAAGGATATTAACCTTACTTATTTATGTTTTCTAATTAAACATTAATTACTTTAACTAATGGTAAAATCCCGTTATAAAAGTTTAGTATAAATTGCATCAATTTAAATCTGAGAAGCTGGACTTTCGCATTCTTTGGCTCACTTAATGGCAATTTTAAGTACACTCCGATTTTTATGTTATCAATTTGCTTGTTTCTTGAAACCATCTTCTTAATCCAAAGAGCAGTTATTTCCATCCATTAAATACAAACCATTAAAATAACAGACGTTTATTAAATCCGGAATGTTTTGCTTAATCATAGTTAAGTGAAAGTGATTAAAGTTTAATAAATAAAGTTACCAATTTGCTTGTTTTTTGAAATCATCTTCTTAATCCAAATACAAACAATCGCCATTAAAATAACAAAAGTTTCTTAAAACTGCAATATTTTCATTGATCTTTGTTAAGTGAAAGTGATTAAAGTTTGACTGTGACAAACAACAGTTTCGTATTATTAATGATCATAAAAATTATGAAAAATATGGGTCATTATTAACACCCAACTGCGACGTTTTTCAACAGGTCACAAAGCATGATTATACTGAACCCGGATTCCGAAACGAAAGTCAAGGGTACGAAATTATTGTCCTACCCACGCAAAACCGACTGCATCGAACCTCAAGAAACAATTAATCCTTTTGACATGCGAATAATTTACATTCCTGATTGTTTTTATCTAAATTTTAATTGTTTTAATTTGACAAATGTTAATTGTTTTTATTTTAACGAATTTTAATTATTTGTTATGAGGGTTGAACTTTTGCAAAGTTGTTTATGCGAAATTCGTGAATTTCATTTGCAAAATCAAGTTGTTTTTTTTGTTGTTGTTTCGTTTGAAACTCGCAACACAAGCACGTTTTCCTTGGCATTTACCTATTCAAATTAAATTATAGAAACTTTTCGGATTCTTATAAAGAGATAGAACTGTCTGTTGGAATCATAATAATTTCGTGCTTACAGCGAATTTTGTAGCGAATTAGAAATGTTTTGGAAGTTTGAACATATGGTAAAAGTATCTGTTTCTTATAAAGAAATACAAATATCTGCCTTTGCAAACTGAATATGATTTGGAAATTATTATTGGAATTGTACTGAAAATAGAAACTTCTTCAAATTAAATTATGAAAACTTTTCACTTGAAGCAAACTGAAAATAGTTATTGTTGGAACTCTTGTAGTTTGATTGATGAATGGAAATATAATTTTAATTATATCCTAGTGACTCAGCAAGTGTTTGCTAGAGATTCGGATTTTTTTATAAGGCTATTAATTTAATTACCTAGTTCTTAGTTGATCATTGCCAAAAATACACTTTTGTAAATTCTATTGACTGAACAATGATGTTTTCTAATTGTACTTCTTTTTTTTAAATATTAACGTAATTGTTAATTTTTTTCAGTACGCGAACTGTACAAGACACGAAAGGATGGGATGTGTTCAGAGATCCACCGACGAAGATGGATTCGGGTTCCATGGCGAACCAGAAGTGTCTCGATATCACCGTGAGGATATTCAAAATAATAGCTTACCTGGTGACGTTCGTCATAGTCCTAGTTTCCGGCGTGATCTCAAAAGGCACGTTGCTCTTCATGACCTCCCAACTGAAGGCGGATAAATACACCACTTACTGCAACAAGGAATTGGGTAATTTATTATAAATTAATTACGTATTATATGTTTTAACTGTATGAAATTATCAGGTCGAGAAAAGCAGTTCGTCGTGAAGCTTCCTCAGGAGGAACGAGTTGCTTGGATGTGGTGTCTGCTGTTCGCGTTCTGCGTGCCACAATTAGGTACACTGTTCCGGTCCTCGAGGATGTGCTTCTTCAAGTCATGGAAGAAACCAGCCTTCTCTCATTTCCTGATCGTATTCATCTGCGAAACGGCTCACACAATTGGAATAGCTATGCTCGTCTTCTGTATTTTACCTGATCTGGACGTCGTCAAGGGAGCTATGTTGACCAATTGTCTATGCTTTATTCCTGGTGTTCTCGGTCTTTTGTCGAGGAACAACAAGGAATCGCAACGCTTCATCAAGGTCATCATCGATTTAGTGGCAATCACAGCGCAAGCCACAGGTTTCGTCGTTTGGCCGATTGTTGAAAGAAAACCTCAACTCTGGTTGATCCCTATAGCAATTTTCCTTACATCCTGCGGCTGGTGGGAAAACTACATCAGCAAGCATTCCCCGATCCCATTCATCAAACGTCTCGGTAAAGTGAAGGAGGAATTCCAGGCATGCCGCTACTTCTCCTACATGTTCATCTCGATTTGGAAATGCCTTTGCTTCTTCTTCTCCATCCTCTTCATCAATTTAGTGCAGACCGGCGAAATAGGATTCTTCTTCTCTGATTTCAACAGCGGTTTCAGCGATCGTAGAATCACCATTTTGGAAGTAAAACCAGCGTTGGGTGGTACTTCCATGCCGGATATTTCCGACTTTATCCCAACCGGTGACGACACAACAGTACCAGCTCTATTCAAGACTTCGATTCACGTGATGTTAATCAATATTTTCGCGTCTTATTTCTGCTACATTTTCGGAAAATTCGCCTGCAAAATCATGATCCAAGGATTCTCTTATGCGTTCCCGGTGAACCTAACGATCCCAGTCTCCATTTCCTTGTTGATCGCAGCTTGTGGATTGAGGAACGAGGACCCCTGCTTCTTCAACGATAACATTCCTGGATACTTGTTCTTCGAAAGTCCTCCAGCTTACTTCTTGAACGACTTTATTTCGAACCAACACGCCTGGGTTTGGTTGCTGTGGCTATTATCACAAACATGGATCACATTGCATATTTGGACACCGAAGTGCGAGCGTTTGGCGAGAACCGAGAAATTATACTTATCTCCAATGTACGAAGGTTTGTTTATAGACCAAAGTATGGGAATGAACAGGAAGAGAGATGATGAAGCCGATGTAAAAACCGAAGAATTGGATGAAATTCAGAAAGAAAAGGGTGATGAATATTACGAGACCATTTCCAACCACACTGACGGATCGACTCCGAAAACTGTTAAGAATTCTGATCACATCACTAGGATTTACGCTTGCGCAACTATGTGGCACGAAAACAAAGAGGAGATGATTGAGTTCTTGAAATCTATTCTCAGGTTAGATGAGGATCAATCCGCGCGTAGAGTGGCTCAAAAATATTTGCGAGTCGTCGATCCTGATTACTACGAATTCGAAACGCACATTTTCTTCGATGACGCTTTTGAAATTTCCGATCACAATGATGATGATACGCAGGTAAATCGTTTCGTGAAACTGTTGGTTGCAACAGTGGATGAAGCTGCTAGCGATGTCCATCAAACCCATATCAGGATCAGACCACCCAAGAAGTTGCCGACTCCTTATGGAGGAAGGTTGATTTGGACTTTACCTGGAAAAACGAAGATGATTGCTCACTTGAAAGATAAAATGAAGATCAGGCACAGGAAACGTTGGTCCCAGGTCATGTACATGTACTACCTTCTCGGTCACAGACTCATGGAATTGCCAATTTCCGTTGATAGAAAGGCAGTGATTGCTGAAAACACTTACTTGTTGACTCTGGATGGAGACATTGATTTCCAACCATCTGCTGTGACTTTGCTTATCGATTTGATGAAGAAAAACAAGAACTTGGGAGCTGCTTGCGGACGTATCCATCCTGTCGGTTCCGGACCCATGGTTTGGTATCAACTCTTCGAATACGCTATTGGCCATTGGCTGCAAAAGGCCACCGAACACATGATTGGATGCGTACTTTGTAGTCCGGGATGTTTCTCGCTCTTCAGAGGAAAAGCTCTTATGGACGACAACGTTATGAAGAAATACACATTGAGATCCGACGAAGCTAGGCATTACGTGCAGTACGATCAGGGAGAAGATCGTTGGTTGTGTACATTGCTTTTGCAAAGAGGATATCGTGTCGAGTATTCGGCTGCTTCTGATGCTTACACCCACGCTCCTGAAGGTTTCAACGAGTTCTACAATCAACGTCGTCGTTGGGTACCATCGACCATCGCCAACATCATGGATCTTCTCGTGGATTACAAGAAAACAATCAAAGTCAACGACAATATTTCCTTGCCATACATCAGTTACCAAGTAAAATGACCAAACAAATACATCAAATACAATTATTTATGAAAAATGTTAATTCCAGATTCTGTTGATGGGAGGTACTATTTTGGGCCCCGGAACTATATTCCTTATGTTGGTGGGTGCTTTCGTAGCCGCTTTCCAAATCGACAACTGGACCAGTTTCTATTACAACATCATCCCAATCTTCTTCTTCATGTTGGTCTGCTTCGTTTGCAAATCTAATATTCAAGTAATTCACTTAAAACATGTGCAATCGTTATTTATAATTAATTATGATTATTCGTTTCACAGTTGCTCTGCGCTCAGATCCTATCAACTGGTTACGCCCTGATTATGATGGCTGTGATCGTGGGTACAGCTCTGCAATTACGTGAGGACGGAATCGGTTCACCATCCGCTATTTTCTTGATAGCTATGACGAGTTCGTTCTTCATAGCAGCGTGTCTACATCCGCAAGAGTTTTGGTGCATCTTACCCGGAATAATTTACCTCCTCTCCATCCCATCTATGTACTTGCTCTTGATCTTGTACTCGATCATCAACTTGAACGTCGTATCCTGGGGTACCCGAGAAGTAGCTGTAAAAATGACTAAGAAGGAAATGGAACAGGAGAAGAAGGAAGCTGAAGAGGCTAAAAAGAAGGCTAAGCAAAAGTCGCTGTTGGGATTCTTGCAGGGTGGAGGTACCAGTGATGATGATGAAGGAAGCATTGAATTATCCGTAGCTGGATTATTCAAATTCATGTTATGCACTCACCAGAAGAGCGGAGATGAAAAGGCTCAACTGATTCACATCGCCGATAGTTTAGATGTATTGAGCAAACGTTTGGATCACATCGAAAAGTAGAATATTTAGCTTTATTGAAGCATTTATTAATTGATTATTTTAGGGTTGTGGATCCTCACGGTCACGCCACTAGGAAACGTAGTGTGTCTGTGTCATCAAGAGGAGATCATCATTTAGGTACATTGGCTGAAGAAGAAGCTGAAGATTCTTCAGAAAGCGATTCCGAAACGATGTCAACGGTACCACAAAACAAGCGTGACGACCTCATCAATCCCTATTGGATCGAAGATCCGGAACTGTGTAAGGGTGAAGTAGAGTTCCTCAGCACCGCCGAGATCCAATTCTGGAAGGACTTGCTTGATAAGTATTTATACCCCATCGATGAAAACAAAGAGGAAAAGGTAATTTTTTTTGTTGCGAACAAATCAACGACAAGTACTGAGTATTTCTGTTTTTTATGAGCTATTTAACTAAGTAATATTGTGAGTGGAATGCTTTAAAATGAATTTTATAGGCCCGTATTGCTTCCGATCTAAAGGACTTAAGAGATCAGTCAGTTTTTGCCTTCTTTATGGTGAACGCTATATTTGTTTTGATCGTGTTCTTGCTCACCCTGAAGAAGGACTACCTCCATATTAAGTGGCCGTTCGGCGTGAAGACCAACATTACTTACGACGATAGCTCTCAAGAGGTAAATGTTTGACCGGGCTTCGCGTGATTCGAAACAATTCCATATCGACATTTATTATAAACATTATTGTTCTCGTGTATTTCGCAGAGTTTGTTTTGGGAATCGCGTGGCCCGCTAGATTATAAGGCTAATGTTGTTACTTTTTACAGGCCAGGATTGCTAGGGAGCTCATTGAGCTTCGCAATAAGTCGGTATTTGCGTTCTTCATGTTCAATGCTCTCTTTGTTTTGGTCGTGTTTCTGCTGCAACTTAATAAGGATCAAATCCATGTTAAGTGGCCGCTCGGGATACGAACCAACATTACTTACATTGAGGAAACCTCCGAGGTATTTACAGGTTTTAAAGGCTGTACTACAATCTGTGGATTTTGGAAAAAAAAAACATGACTAATCGGATCTTTGGTTCTCTTCCTATTTATACATTTTATATGTGTTTTTTTTTATATATTATTTATTTTATTTTTCGTCGTGTGATTCTTCAAATGCGATTGAAACGCACGCAAAATTGTGATTAATTAATTTCTTCTTTAATTGACTTGATTTTTTTGTTTCGTTTGATCCAAAATGAACATCACCACCTCTTTTTGGTTCAGGTAACACTGAAACGACTTGGGCACACTATACATATTATAAAGCATCTCATTTACTAACACTTACATCAAAAGAAATATAAAACCGATTTTTGTTATAACACAAAACTTGATTTCTCTCCAAATATACCAAGAAAAGAAAAATATCAAATCATCCATCAAATAAATCCATAAATCATCTCATCAAATCCATTACAAAAAAAGTTATACTTTCGACCAATCATCTCACGAAATCCTTCGTAAAAAATCTATACTTTCGAACAAAATTGTGTTTCTTCCAGCAAAACTAATTGGCTACCAAAATTCTTTGAAATAAAAAAAACGTTGCGCAAGCTGAGACTCCATCTGCAAATCTGTTTTGTGTTTATTTTATATATGTATTTATGTACAGTGATAACATTTCTTATTTATTCTAATTTTACATGTGTTGGGTATATAAATAATGCCTACTATATTTTTAACAATGGTACGAAAACGGGGAAAGAATCTTGGAAAAGGCTATAACATGTTTCAAATGTTACAGGTGCACATTTCGAAAGAATACCTTCAGCTGGAACCCATTGGTCTGGTGTTCGTGTTCTTCTTTGCCCTCATTTTGGTCATCCAGTTTACGGCTATGTTGTTCCATCGTTTCGGAACGTTAGCTCACATCCTGGCCGCAACCGATTTGAACTTGTTTTCTTGTTCAAAGAAGGTAATCCAATTAAGAATCATCAATTCAACAATTGTGTTAAACGTTTTTAATTAAAAATTACAGAAGGACGATCTATCTCCTAATGCTCTACTAGATCGACAAGCGGTGGAAATAGTCAAACAGCTGCAGAGGCTACAAGGCATCGATGATGGTGATTATGAAAATGATTCCGGTTCAGGTCCTGACAGGATAGGAAGAAGGAAAACTATACAAAACTTGGAACGTGCTGCTCAGAGGAAGAGACAAATCGGAACTCTTGATGTAGCTTTCAAGAAGAGATTCGCCAAATTGAACGCCAATGTTCAAGGAGGTAACATTCCCAAAAGCAATAGCCTAATGTTAATAAAATTAATCGTTTAATTTGTGAACAGGTACACCAATCTTGAGCAGAAGAATGACCATGGGTAAGGAAACCATGAAGGCTTTGGAAGTGCGAGTCAACTCGGTGATGGCCGAAAGGAGGAAGTCCAATATGCAAACATTAGGAGCCAAGAACGATTTCCATGCAAACAACAACGGTAACGTTACGAGGAACCACAGGAACAGTACTGCCAGTATTCCTGTGAAAGAAGTTTTCGAGAACGGACAGGTGAACAAAGCTTTCGAGGAAGAGACTTATGGAAGCAGGACTTCGTTGCCGATGCACACCAGGAACACCGTCAACTGGAAGGGCAGTCTGAACCGGATGTAATTTATACGTTAGCTAAATTGACTAAATAATACTCAAAACAAAACGAAAAGAATACTGCCTCTCGTATTTTCATTATATATTTTTATACGTACCATATTATTTTTTTTGTATGCATATATAATTATTATTTTATACATTTTTTATGATTTTCTTCTTTCTTCTCTATCTCTTGATAAAATAGGCAATAAGAAAGACTTAACTAATTTTAAGCTCAATTTTTTGTATACTCGATTGCCGTCCAACTCAACGGATGGCGGCCCCTTTAATTAAGGATACGTAAAAGTAAATTTATTTATAGAGAAATGTAAATTTAATGTGATACCATTTAAGTAATGTATATATTTTTACATATATGCAAGTGAAGTATAATAAAAAAAAATCGAAGCAATGAAAGGAAAAACAAAGAAAAATTTCCAATTTATTTCGCACCTTATTCGAATCAATTTTATTATAATTAAATAAAGACACGAAAGCGTAACTTAAACTAAAACAATCTACATTGAGGTAAAAAAAAATTCTAAAGTACGTTTATGAAATTGCAATTACTTTTAAAAAGTTTTAAGTACTAGAATCAATGTAAATCACGTTTTGCTTTTGCTAATCTCTTTCGATTGTTCTATAGTCTCGGATTTAATGACGTTGCCTTTGAAGTCCACATCGTCTATTGTAATTATAATGTTCGATTCAATCTCATCGTTGCTCACATCCTCAGGTTCATCAATGTTAGCATCTGTATTCAACGGTGCAGCTTTCTTTGTCGAAACAGTTAAAACGTATTTCGGCGTATCATCCCCATCGTCTTTATTCACAACTTTTTCCAAATCGTATTTGATATTATCATTAATTAGAGGTTGTTTCTTTGCCATCATGTCTTGCGTGGCTTCCAAACTCTCGTAACGCACAGTTTGCAATCGGAACTTCCCATCGGCTTCTTCTCGATACTTGAATCTAGAATGTCCGGCCGGCCAAGTATAATCGTGCGTCCTGGTCAAGTGCTTCGTTAAGATTCCTCCCCTAGAAAAGGTCTTCTGGCACAAGTGACATTCATACTGCGACAAATCACCCTAAAAACACAAAACTATTGTAAAATATAAATAAACAAAATTTATGTTATTTACAGTTCCGTGCTTTTTTATGTAATGCTTCTCCAAGCCGTAAAAAGATCGACAACTGAAATCGCACTCTTCACAAGCCATCAACTTGTCCGGACAATGCGTGGTCAAATGATCCTCGAGGTTCATTTTCGTTACAGTCCTGCAAATGCATATATATTTTAGTTTAAAATAATCTAGGTTGTGTAAAAATCTTACGCAAAAGCACACAGATGGCATTTAAAGGGACGTTCGTTCACATGCCTAAATCGTATATGGATGGCTAACATTGAAGGCTTCGAACAAGTCATATCACACATGCTGCATTTGTAATTGTTTATGTGACCTCTCATATGATCTCTCAACAATCTCTCAGTAGAAAATAATTTACAACAGGTTGAACATTGATATGTTAGCACTGGAACAAGAAAGAAAAATATTAGATTCTACAAACTAAAAATTAATAAACTTACTCTCTGCAGGTATCTGCCTTTTAGTGTGATCATTCAATTTTGTTTTCGAAGCAAACATGTTTCCACAATAGTGACATGCAACGACTTTCTCTTTGGTATGGGATCGAACATGATCAGACAATTTACTCTGGCTACTGAATTTAGCCTTGCAGCCTAAAAACATATTTAATATTAAAAAAAATTGTTGTTACATTCCATACAGAATATTACCTTTAAAACCACAATACAAGTAACTCCCCTTTGCACTCACTTTCGGGAGTTCATTTAAGTGCAATTTAATATGCAACAAGTATTCATTAACAGTCCCATGCAATGTATTGCAACTGTGCCACTCGCACATGTAATCTGCATATATTGCTGGCACTTCATACATCTTATCAGAAGTGCACTTGGTGAAATTACATCTATCTGCAACATTCTTCCCAATGTTTTTGAGCCTCTCATGATACGCATGAAAAGAAACATGCTTAACAAGAGATTGCAAATTGTTATTTTCACATTGGCAATCGCCAAAGCAACATAGATATAAACCTGAAACAATTAACGGATCACTTGATTACAAGTAACACACTTTGTATTATGTATCACCTTTTTCCTCATCTATTTCAGCCTCCAATGAATGTTCTAGCAAATGTTCAGTGAATTTCTTCTCAGACTTAAAATTCTCTTTACAAGACAACCATTCACAGGTTAGATCCACTGGTTCATCAATGAACTTAATGTTCTGCAACTCTTTCTTTTTCTTCTTCGTGCTTCTGGATAAAGTGTAGCTTACAGCTATGTTATCATCGTATTCCTCGTCGATCACCAAACCGCAATCCGTGTCCGGAGTCAATAAGTTTTTATCAAACGACTCCTTGCTCCTCTTGTTCATACGCTCACGGTGCTTGATTTCCTCGAGAACCGTTTTGATGTCACGTTTACTTGCCATCATCAGATGATTGTTCTGAAGTGATACCCCAAAATCAGTAATACTTGAAGCGATTTCATTTGTTTTCTATTAACTTATAAAAACAAGTTCTACACAAACTATTGTATATTTTGATTGGGCTGGTGGCGCTTCTTGGCGCCTATTTTCCTTGATTACAAGCGACATCTATTATATGATAGTAGAGTTATGTAACTGAGCGTAGATCCATTACGTAGAACTTTGTAACTTACTCGTTATGCAACACAACTTACTTATGACCAAGAGCTTCTGGATCATCTTTATTTAACCACACATCGTTCACGATTCTAAGAACTTTTTAAACTGTACTTTTGAATAGTTTTGGAACTACTTTAAAATGAATCTAAGCTTAATTTGTTAATAATTAAACTTTGCATACACAATTAGTTTATAATTATAAGAAGTAATTACCAAACAAATTACAACTAATTTAATTATAATAATATTATATTATATAAATTATAAGCTAAAATATATTGTAACAAAATTAGTTAAAGAAAATTAACTAAAATATGAATTAAAATGTATTTATATCATCATAACAATATGACTCCGTTTGGAATATATTGATTTTATACTTTTGTAAACAATAATTGTATTAATATTAAATATTCAATATTTTTTCTGTTTAAAGTTGTTTGTTGATTATGCATAGCAAATCGTACAGAAACCAAATTCGATCAATAAAAAGTCCTTTATGATGGATTCGAGAAAGCTTCAAGAATAGCATTAAACGTTTCTTAAACATATATTTTTTTTCACTTTCTTTGTAAATGTAACATATTCTATGTGTGTGCAGAAATTTATTCCTTTTTTATTCGACATTAAAAGTGTATATCAGCTGTCCTTGATTGATCACCCACGTAGCTGTAAGGATCCATGATAAACGATGTTACGGGCTCTCTCCCTCGCACGGAATAGGAACTGGACGCGATGGAAGTCCTCCAGTAAAAATACCATAAAGCATTTGGCACAATGAGCCGCAAAATGCGATTTGGGCCCTTCTCTCGCCCACAGAAATACGACAGCCGTGATACTGCAGAAAACGCAATAATGTTTGTTCAAACTTTTTAAATCCCATTCAATTAAAGAATATCAGTTCGAGAGGCATAGGCGATTTTTCATACTTTGTTCATTTCATTCATATCTTCTTTTTTTTTGCAAAGTCAACCAAAGGAAAAGTCAAAGAATTAGTATTGTTGAGAATGTAGGAATAAAAAATATACTCTTAATTTACTTACCTAAAATAGAAATTATTATATTAATATTTTACTAATTTACATTGTAATCTACTACTACTTAATTATAATCATTGCAATTGTATAAATATATAATATATAAACAATACAAATTTTAATTTATAATTTTAACAATACGTAAAGGTAACAATGGAAATGTAATTAAGAAAAACTTGTAAATTCATTAAGAAGCAAACAAAAATTGTGATACTATTTACTTAAATATAATTTAGTACATCAATGCCTCACATAGTGCGGGTAATTCGTTTTGTCCATATCCCAGATTGTTTAAAAGTTTAATTGTATGAAGAGCAAAAACGATAATTTATGTATGAAATATAATTTTTGAGCATATTTTTTTTTTCAAATTATTTTGTCAATTAAACTATAGTAAATACGGATTTATGATCAAAATGAGACTAAATTAGTTGATTTATTAAAATAATTTATGGAAGAAATTTCAACTAACAAAACCTAAATTGTAAGCAAAAATAAACCATGCTACTTAGATATTTATTTATAAAAGTAAGAAACATAAAATTTACGACACTTTCATAAAGATGGTGACGTTATTAACGTATCAAGTTACACATATAGCAATCATATAAACGACTTTCGTTTGTCTTCATCATTGTAGCTAAAAGTAAAACTTCCTGAAAATCTGGAAAACTTCATAGAAAACAATATTTTACTACAAATAAATATTTTTATGTCTAATTTTATATTACTTTATTTTTATATAGTTCTTAATTCTTTTTGATTTTTAGATTTCATTGTAAGATTTTTTTTTTACTGCACTAAATTAAATAGTATTGAAATTTTCATCATAAATTTTATTACCAAATTTTTTATTGAAATTTTATTAAAGAAATTTGCATTCTACTGGACTAAATTAAATAAAAATTTTCATTACAAATTGAATCATTTTATCAAAGTTTTCATTTTTTTTAATTAAAATTTTATAAGAGAAATTTTAGTGAAAATTTGAAAACTTATAGTAGCATCAATAAAATACTAAAGCAGTTAAAAACTGTGTACCTAAACTGTTCTATTAGAACAACCTAATGAATGTTATTACATAACAATGGATGCAAATTGCGTATGAATATTCCTTCTTTTGTGGAAAACCTCCAAACAGATTATTTTTTTTCCAGTCCTGTACAATCTGATATCTATCTCTTCGTCGAGGTTAAAATATGCGGCGTGTGTTCCGAACGACGCACAAAGGGCACCATTTTCTAAGCATTTTTCGCTTTCGTTCGACTGAAAAAAAAAACCTATATAGGAGTAAAATAATGACGACTAGACGAAGGGGGATTCTTTAAATAGTAGTCCCCTAAAAATACAGCGGCAGAAGCGGAAGAGCGAGAGGAAGAACCAATGGCGCGCGTGTTATCCACGTTCCACAAAAGGAGGGTCGTCGCAAAAATGCTAAAAAAAAAATAATAATATAATATTATATACGGCGAGGGCTTGCGTCCCCCAGCGTTATATACTTCATTTACATAAGGGGGAAATAGAGAAAAAAATAAAATAAAAATGTGGGGTCTCGTCGAGCGAGATGAAAAAAAAAAAAAAAAAGGTGCGGAAGTGGAGTTTTTGGGGTGCGGTATTTTTGGATTTCCGTATATTTATATACTGTACACCACGGGCACACTTTTTCGCTTCCTCCGCGTTCGTTTTTTTTTTGTTCATTCTTTTGTAAATAGACGCGCATAATGGATTATTAGTTAGGTGTAAAACGCGTTTAACCTTTGGGGTTCCCTTCTTTTTTTATGCGCCACCTTGTAGAGCGCGTGCTTGTTTTTTTTGTGTGTGTGTGTGTTACGATACGAAAGGGGAGTCCCCCAATTTTTTTTTTAAACTTGATGTATAAAAAAGAGACACGTGTAAAGACGTACAGGTTGATGAACAACAAGTGTTCCGGTTTTTTTTTATGTACGTGTGTATTTTTAATCCCGACGCATCCATTTATCTTACTTAAATAGTTCGCAGCGTTCACGAAGATGTAAAAAATGACAGAGCGTGGATAATCCTGTAGGCTTACAGCTTTACACTACTTCTTTTTACAAAAAGTAACAGAAGCTTTCATGCTTTTGTAATAGAAGTTTATAGTTATTTATGTTTCAATTACTTCTGAGATCTCATTCATAAAATTAATTTGAAACTACACTCATTTGTAGTAAAGTATCAAGTATAAATCGCGAGTTAAACAATTTATTACGACTGGTATTTGCACAGGTGATCAATACTTTTTGCAATTAAAAAGAAACATTAGATTTTTCTGATCGATTTGAATTGATTAAAAAAAAGTAATACAATTTTTTATTTACTCACTTTTAATTATCCCTAATTGTGTGACATTGACCGGAAATTTAACAATTATTATTAATTATTTTCATTTTTATTACATAATAGTTCAATATTGTATAAAAATGGATTTTTTCTATTTAATAATTGAAATAAAAATAGTTTTAATACTTTTAGAGAAAATAACAGAGATACAAATATTTGCTATATATATTAATTGTAGGTATACAGAATAAAAGTTGTTTTTTTTGAACTGTTTTCGACACATTCGTTAATCAGTCATCATCCGTCATTGTCATTGATTCTGATGGATTTCAACGTTTATTTCAAATTCAATTAAATTCAAATTTTGCATAATTTTTTTGAACTTTTGAAACTTTTTAAATATTTGCAATTTGATTGATTTCATTTAATTTTTATACCTTTTCAGCAGTTAATATATATTTTTGTTGATTGGAATTGTTTATTTTTTTTATGTGACTGTTGTAATAAAGATTATTGTTATCAAATTTTATAGAATGTAACTAAAAATTGTGATTTTACTTGTAATATTTTTTGTGTTGCAAAACACGTTGATGTAATTATTGTTACAGAATAAGCACTAATAGTTCTTCTCTTTTGGTGACATCTGAAAGAGATGCGAAGGTGTGATTTATAAGAAAAAAGGAGATTTAATGGGTGATTTTGTGGGCCTTTAACCGAGTCGGAAAGGTGCGTTTGCTTGTCCGTTTTAATATCAAACACGTGCTTTTTTGTGTAGCGAGGATTCAACAGAATTCTTCAGCTTTGACCATGCAACGCTTATGTATACGTATACGGATTTGTGTGTGTGTATGTGTGTGTGTTTGGGCACGGGGGCAAGATGCACCGGACATTGGAGCGGCTCCAGCAGCTCCAGCACCTGGCAAAGCTGCAGATTTCCCCAAAAATGCGGACACAAAAGCCCCGAACCGACAATTGTCACTGATATTTTATTTATTGGCTGTATTGGGACACGAGCGGATTTCTTTATTATTTTTTTTCCTTTTCTATATTATTTCAATTTTACTGTATAAAAACCGAAATTTAAACGCCACAATGAACCGAGATAAAAAAAAACTTACATATTTATATAAGAATCAAAAACTGGACTACGTTACTTCGCAGCAAGGTGATTTATGTTAGCAGGTAAACCGAAAATCCGTGTTTCCTTATCTCGATGCGATGTTTAACACCCAGAACGGGTCAATCTTATCGCTACGAGTATATTAGTTTTCAGTATAGATTGTTTATCGAGCATGTAATTAAGAGGCTTTCTTAAAAAAAGATGACATTTCTGTAGTTGTGGACGGTTTTTTTTTCCTCTCTTCTTGTTGCAGATGAGGGCTTTTGGTCAGTTTTGAGAAGAGAAAAAAAGGACAGGTGATGCGTGGTGCGAGTGTGTGTGGAGGGCTATTTAGGGTTACTTCGTCCACCCATTATTATTTGTAATGGTCCGAAAGAAAATGTGACCCCAAAAAGCGGTGATAAATTGCTGAACTGTAACTATTTTTTTTTTTTTTGAAAAAAAAAGAAGAAAGATGCCA